AGCGTTTAGCATTGCTCTACTTTAAAAGGTGAGTGTTCCTTGCATGTTATGCTTCCAATGTCTATGTGGATTGTTTTAAATGCTTACTTGAATGTTAAATGCTTTTCAATGGTCATTAAATGAATTTTCAATAGGCGAGTGTGTATTTTATCGCACTCGACCTAAGTGAACGTGAAATTTTTAATGATCAAATGATTGAATGTTACTTGTGCATGAATATAAGCCTTTGGCTGTACTGGGCCCTTGCCCTTCGTTGCAAGTCGGCTTGAGTTAGAAGCGGACTCGGTCAGGCGACTGGTGACCCTGGAATAGTGTTTTGGTATACTCGAGTATGACCATGAAATCTGGTGGAGAATTGGCCAGTGAATGAAATGCAATAAATGAAATGACCGACTGAATGAAATGAATACTGAAGGAGTTTTCACTTTAAATGTTTTCAAATGTCGGAAGAATAAGAGAAATGTCCGGAGACTGAATAACTGAATGAATGGCTCCAAATGAGCATGTATCCTTCCAATGAATGAATTTTTACTTCTTGAATGACTGTTTATTATTGTGCAAAATGTTCAAACTGTTGAATGCAATACTTTCATGGTTTCTCTACCTGATTGCTTGTTTGGGAACCTCACTGGGCTTTTAGGTTTTTAACTCATTCCTTTAGTTTTGTTTTCCTTACAGAAGTGGAGGTCCGGAGCAATTAAGTGTGAACTAGAGTGCATAACCCTTTTGTACTTATTCTTTTGGTAGATATGATGTATTTTGACATTTGATGTTGTATCACACATTTGGCTTTTGGGTTGTAAATAAGTTTGCATTTTGGTTGAATTGTAAAACTTAAATGTTATTTTGGAGGTTTGAATGGTTAATCTTGAAAGTTGATTGAATGAATGAATGAGTTCTGGCGAGAGTTAGGCAGGCGATCTACCAAACCCTTGAGTATGCCTTGGGAGGAGGTGCGGTCGTCACATAAATTGCCTTTCATCATATTGAATTTGTGAAATATATCTCCCATATTTTTCTATAGAATTTTTGGTTTCTACATGAATAATAAAAAATTAAAAATGAAAAGTTTGGTGGCTCTCCAATGATGTTTGAAAAAAACAGTACGTGTCATTATAAAGCAACTCGAACATAAGTATAGACAAATCAGCAGCAACTAAAAGTTGCCTAAATTTACTAGTAATCTTGAAGTAGAAATTTCAAATTACAATTATAACGCAAAAGGTGAAAAAAAAAAAAGAGGAGGACTTGACATGATAGATTAGAAACAGGAGTTGATACAGTAATCATGTCAGTCGTAACTTTAAGAAGGTATTATTTATCCAACCATTGTGGGTTAATTGTCAGAAATGAAAGCTTAGAACAAGTTGTTCTTTATGCTAATATTGTACTCCCCCGTTCCATTTTGATAGTCCTGATTTTTTTTTCACACAGTCTAAGAAAAGGTAGTTAACTTTGTTGGAACAATCAATTTAGGTAGCTATTTTTCTAAAATACCCTCACATTAATTAGAGTACAACTTTATGGGAACTCGAAATCATATTCTTTTGTTGGAGTTTCATTAGAAAAATTGTGGGAATATGGTTGGTTTTGGAAATTTTCACTCATGGTTTGTAGCTAATGATGACATAGTTTGTTTCCCTCCTGATATAAATAAGCTTGGAAAATCTAAATGTATTAAATGTAGCAGGTTTATAGTAACAACTTACATTGAATAAGGGTATTTTAGAGAAATTAAAATACAGCTACATTCTTCAATCGGAAAGTGGACTACAATTTGGGACAGACAAATAAGAAAAATAGAACTATCAAAGTGGGACGGAGGGAGTATATGCTATGATATACTAATGTGAATGTAATAAGTGTTTGAAACCATGTTTAGATAGCCATTCAAATTGGATTTATAAGTTTATAGTGGAAGATAAATGCATAATTAATATGCATCGAGATTATTGCCAAGTGGGAGAAAGAAGTTGAATCGGTCAAGATAACAACAAATATCATGTGATCTTTAACGTTTGAAATTCAAAGATTGCGAAAAAATGAAAAAATTTAGGTTGCAAAATATCAATGAGCAACCATAGGGGTAAGAGTATAAATGATGCATTTTAGTGTGTAAATAAATTCGTTTTAATGTTTATACTTCATTTTAACACGCAACGAGAATCTTTTAATGCAGTTTATTTTATTTGCAAATACTCAGAAAGAAAAATATATGAAAATCAATGCTGAAATATATCTACAAAATAGAAATAATTATAATATTAATAAAAGATTCTCATAACTTGCTCAATTTACTATCTCTACACCTTATGACTAAATAGATAATTGAGTTTGCACTTAGATTGTAAAACTTAATACCAAATTAGAATGGAAAAAGTTTCCTGTATACCTTATGCACAAGGAATTATATAATCTTTTAAACACTCCTATTGTGGTTGTAAGTTTTATATGTACCAAATGAAAGTTATAAAATTGATATACAAAACTCGAAACACTACTATTTCATCTAACTAAGGCAATTAAAACTAAGTAAAAAAATTGATCATAAATTTAAGAAATAATACTTAGTGTACTTTTCAACTCTTGATATAAAGGATTTTAGACATAGTAGATATTCCATAAAGAGGAAAAACAAATTCATGAGTTGCGAGGCTACAAAATCAGTTTTGCTTTGAACAACTATAGTTGATTGACTTTAATGAAGGATCCGAGCAACACTCGTATAGGAAAGAAATTATATGTACAAATAATTTGCTGAGCAAAACGTTGATAGCAACATCAACTAAACTATGGTGATAAAAAGTTGTATATTGTTTCTTTTCTTTTTGTGTGTGAAAATTTGCTTGGTAACTTAAAATCATGGTTAAGCGATTAATAAGAAAGAATTGTGCAATGAAGTATTGCTGATTTTCACCATGGTATTGATTGAACACAATCCATATTCATTGTTATCAAAGATTTCTCCATTGATTATAAAAAACTCAGTATTGATTAAAGTTGGAATTAGACTTCACTATTGAACAAATGTTTGAATTATTTAAAGTTTGATTATTTAGAGGATTTTAAAATGTTATATTTCAATATGGCTTATTTATGATATTAGTGATTGTTATGCTTAATAATAAGGATTAATCTTCCATGCATTAGCAATGTGTATACTATCTCCATTAGATGTGTAACAATTAATCTGAAATTAAATTTAAAATCTAAATTTTGCAAAAGTATCATCCAACTATGACACTATATATATTGCTAGTGTTTATAATATTAACTTTAATAATTATGCCTAAACCAAAAATAAATAAATAAAGTATAAAAGGTAGATTAGAAAAAATTTGGAAGAAAGTACCAAAAGAGGTACACTTTACCTAATATTCAAAGTTATATTAATATATAAATAGATAAATAAATTTTCATTCAATTTATTTACTTTTCAAAGCAACATGCTATTAATAGTTACAAAAATGAGATATGCGAGATGCAATAGATGTATTGCCACCAGTCACAGAGCCAAGAATTTTTTTCTATGGAGGGGGCCACTTTATGTATAAAGAATTATCACTTTCAAGTGTAATTCTTAATTTTTGGCCATTTTTTTGTCCTAAAAAAATTTGGGTGGCCTGTTTTAGCTTCAGTCACTACCATTCTTTTATTTTATTTTTTTTGAGTTAACTATCCAAACTTGATAGTTGATTGCAACTCAAAGTAAAGAATCAAAAAAATTAAATCAAATTTGTATGTCAACAAGTCAATTCCCATCCCCCTCCAATATTGTAAAAAAACACCCCTATTTTTTTCATTGGCCCCCTAATTTTTTGAAAAGTCCTCACCTCTTATTACATGCCATTCCTAAATCCCAACATCTGTCAAACTCTCTCTTTTGATACAATTTGTTTTACTGTTATTAAACCAAAAAATTGATAAGATCAAAGCAAAAAAATAAAAAAAAAAGTACATTATATATAATTTAAACTGAATAGTAATAATCCTATATAATCTTGACTCCACTGGCCAAGGTCTTGGGTCTAGCATTTTCAGTAATTAAAATGTGATTTACTACTCAATTTTTTATCTTCTTGCTGTTACAATCTTAAGAACAAAAAAAATACTATTCACTTTGTTTTTTCTAAAAAGAATAATTTTAGTGTTCTCTAATCCCAAATTTGAAAAGCAATCATTTATGAGAAAATGCAACTAAAAAAATATTCATATAATATTGCTAATTAGATATATATTGGTTTTATATGTTTAAGAAAAGAACTTTAGAAATTATACAAACTTAATTATTAGCTTCAAATTCATATATAACGGATCATCTGCATTCAGGACAAAGTGCTTTAATTTAAAATTTTGTAAATCAAAAAGTTAAATAGTAAATTGAAATGTGCATATAGTTTAGTTTTGAACAAATTTTTTGTTGACATAATAGAAAAAATTTTAACAAGTCAACATGTAAACCTAATACAATTAATGACAAATTGAACTTCGTAGTTTAAATTTGTTATAATCCGAAAGTTAGGTGTAGTGGAGCAAATGGAATTCTATCAAAATCTAAGGGGGCAAGAGAAGTACCCTCGATAAAAAATTTCAAAATTTCCTAGGGAATATAAAATAGAATCTCAAAACTTCCCCGGGTGGTTGGGGGAAGGCATACATAATTGCACTTTCACATTGCAATTACATAGTTGAGCTACATTAAATGTAAGGCTAAACTATACATTGCAGTTAATATATCATGCAGTTGTGCTTGTGAAAAATCAATAACAGTCACATATTTCCACATTTTTGTGATGTGAGCTCTTCAGTTCCCCGTAACAGAGAAGACAAAGCGGATTAGAAACATTAATACGAGAGTGCCTATAAATGTTGAAGCGAATTTTTGGATTGTACAAAACAACTAGAGAATGCTACCCCTGAATTCTTTTGAGTTTTCTTTTTCGAGTTAGCTTTCACATATCTTCGCACTTTCTTTTTGGTCAAATTATATGTAGCTAGAAATGTCTCGTATCCGGAGATCCTTTTTTGCTCCAAGAATTCGGAGCAATCGAAGGAAAAAAACTGTCAAAGTCCAGTCGCAAAATCATGTCAAAGTTGATCATGTTGATCGGATAAGTGCTCTTCCAAATGACCTTCTCTGTCATATCCTTTCCTTTCTTCCAACAAAGAAAGCTGCAGCCACCTCCATCCTATCCACTCGATGGCGTTACCTTTTCACTTTACTTCCCAATATTCATCTGGAATTTGATCACTCTTTTCGAGACATTATGGGTCCCAATTATCAACGGTTTGATCGATTGGTAGATTGTTGTCATCGATTGATTCTTCAGCGAAAACCGTATTGTTTGAGAAAATTCCATCTTTCCCTGAAAGAGTTTCTTGAGATTTTTCGGGTGGCAATTGACTCTCTGATATGTGCAGCAATTTCCTGTGGAGTCCAACAACTTGAGGTTTTTGTGGGACATGATCGTTCCTATGCATTGTCTCCTCCGGGAATTTTGTCGTGTCCAGCAATTTTCAGTTGCAAAACACTTGTAGAAATGAAGCTGGAAATTCGCTTTACTGTTTTCTATGTGCCGGAAACAGTTTCTTTGCCGAATCTTAAGGTTCTGCATTTGGCACAATATATATTGACAGATGAGCTGTCTACTCCCAGGCTCATTCAGGGTTGTCCCGTGCTCATAGAACTGTCTTTTGACTGTTTAACATTTCCAGAGGATCAAGTTAAGACCCTTTTGATAAAAAGCCCTTCCCTGCAAAAACTCTGCCTCCGTTGTATGTCTGATGATTGGGACATTGTTCTGGGCATCCCCAGTGCTGTAAATTTGGAATGCGACGTTGATGGAGAGAGTAAAACAAGTATAAATGCCCCAAAGCTTCAACATTTGAACTTTGATGGCAATGTAGTTGAAGTACACATTCTTCCAAACCACAAGTGGCTTGTCGAAGCCAGAATATCAGTTTCTTGCCCTTATATTGTGAAAACATCAGATCAAGAACAATTATTGCGCTGTGAGGTTGCATTTGAGCTTATGAATTGGTCACAAAGTGTGGTATCACTTTATTTGCTGGATACCACGGTGGAGGTAGTTTCTTTTCTTTTCTTTGGTTATTGCATAACTCAAATTATTTTTTTTATGATTTGGAGAATGACTGGAGCTTCAAATTTCCAAGTGTTTATTTGTCTAATCAAATTTCTCATTTCTTCCTGAAGTTACCCTTTTATTTTCAAAAGTTGCTGCCAACTTTTGAAAAGCTGACTTATCTTGAGCTAAGTCTGCAAATATTATGATAAGCATACTCGTGCTGGAAGATGTTATCTTGGTTACTTGAGAGTGCACCTAATCTTCAAGTGCTGGTCTTTGATGAAGTGAGTCCCAATGATCCTTTTTTCTCACACCAATGTATTCGATTAGATATTCCAGTCCGTAATTCTTCTCCAAATGGCAGGTGTTTTGGGATGACAGGATTGAATCCTCTGCTGAAGACAAGAAATTTGAGTATCTTTCTACAGAGCCTGTTCCATTATGCTTGCCGAAACATCTGAGGGAAGTAAAAATCAGAAAATTCAATGGCAAGGAATATGAATTCAAGCTCATTGACTATATTTTGCAGAATGTGAAAGCTTTAAAAAAGATGACTGTTGGTGTGCTTGGACACTTTGGAGCTCGCAGCAAAATATTGTCATTCAAGAGATGCAATAACGACTGCCAGATTGTGTTCACATAAAAAATGTTTGGAGGTCTGCTGGTGAAGCTTGGGAAAATGTTTGAATAAATTGTGATCGGCCAATGGGGAGTAGTTGATGCCGTTCCAAGGAAATAACATAATCCAACTCCAGAATAGTTGCTAGTAATAGTGACAAAACGCAGGTTGAAAGTAGTTCTGGATACTAGTAATAGCTAGGGAAATTACGTAACTATGGCAATGTGCAATTTTCATATCTTGCTTTTGGATCGGGACATGGAAAACGGGAGCTTGTTAATGACTAGATTTTGTTGTGATTTTGTTATGTTGAGGTTGCTTTTTATTTGTCGTGTTTAATTGCTTATACATCGAGCATATGGTGATGCAGAACTGTTTATGATTTGAGATGGCTCAAGATTTTCTTGATGTTGTGTATGCTCTTGTCCTCTGTCTCCTTTTAGGCCACTTCCATGGTCTAAAAGTCATGAACCATTTGAATTGCCAGAGAAACCTCACAGCAAGCACCGAAGCATCGTCATTTTTAGTTGAAAGAACGATATTTTTGTAGCTAATGAAGCAGCGAAGCATGACTAACGCTTTATCCCTTGAGACATTAAGAATCTCAACAAATTATAATCAGCAAAACTTGTAGAACTCATGACCAGTTTCCTGTCGGTTTTTTATGAACAATTTATGGTAAAACAGGTATGGATACAACTTTTAGTGCTCATAACCAGCTTTGTGTTCTACCACTTGCAAAAAGTCCGAACTTCTGCTAGTAATATGCAACCTTAGTAACACGCCAGGGTGATAACAGAAGAACAACAGAATACTGAAGCGGAAACATTTGTGTAGAATGATCTGTTCAATTTTCCTCAACCACTTTCCAGCAATGTAAATTGACCCTTGGAGTACATGCGACTACTAAGGTGTTGAAGCAACTTTTTAGGGAAAAAAATTTGTTAACTCCAGAATTGAATAAGGGATTATAATAAACTACAGATGTTGATTTGCATGCAGTCCTGATGATAATTAGCATCCCTAAAGTTCTTTAAAATTCAGTTAAGGAGATAATTCGGGAGCTTTGATCAAGAGCAAGAAAGTAGTTAGTGATTCTTAAGGGCTCGAGCTTGAGGCCATTGAATTTGACCATAAATATTAACAGCAAGGAGGAGCTCAATGGCCTCTAAATAATTAATAGAGGGCAGTAAACACAAAGCTGGAAGTCCAACCTGCTATTTCCTAGGTGATATTTGTTACATTTGAAATGAGTTAAAGAAGTAATCAAATCTATGGATATTCTTAAAGTTAAAGTTGTTATTATTTTTCAGAATTGAATTCATTACATCTGAAACAAATTGTAACATACTGCTTTAGTAAATTTTCGTACAACGTTACAACTTATTATACAATAATGGTAGTCTTATTAGTCTTACATGATTTTTTCTTTTTATCATTAGATTCTGTTACCTATGACAAAGTAAATCCAGAAATGATATAGACAAAGAATACTATATCCTTATACTATATAAGAATGAGTTTAAGACAAAGATTTCAACCGCAAGGGTGGGGCTACTTTGGGAATATGAGAATATTTGAAGTGCAATTAAAGTATTGAATATGAATTATTATAGCTAATTTGATTTTTTTATAATTACTTAAATGTTCTGTCAGACATTTAAAGTTATGGGTAAGTTTAACATGTGGCAATATTCGATATCCGATTAAACATTGGGTACAATTGAATTCAGCTTGTGTTTTAGTGAAATTACATAAAAATCCTTTTAATCATTTAATTGGATTAACATCCAAGTCTCTTCATTTCTTAAAGCCTTTCTCATCAGTTATTTGCAAACTTATGATATATAGATGTTAAGACACAATTAATACTGATTAGTAGAGAAGTTTGGTTTCTTGGCCGTTACCATAGTAACCCCCATCTATTCAAATTCATTTCATTTACTTACAACTTTGTTCCACTACAATCATGTAGTCTATTGAATTCAGATGTTGCTATATTAGTTACTCCTCTTTCCCATTTTGCAACATCTTTTTCAATAGGTATGTTTTCTTTAGCTAATCTACTTTTTTGGTTGTAAGAAATCTGTAATCTTACAAGTTGTATGTGCAACACTTTTTTTAGTGTTTTAATTCAATTGCCCATGTTAGATAGGCTTGATAGGGAGGAGATCACATTTATAATTGTTATTTGTGGTTTAGAATAAGTTTATCATCATAAAAATTTTCATTTATAGATTGCATCTACTTCTTTTGTTGTTTTAACTATTAGTTACGGTAATTTTTAAATTGTTTGTTACTTTATTGATGATTCCATTTAGGCAATTTTTCACTTCATTTGATTTGCCTACCTGTAGATCCAAAGTATGTACTTCATTACTTTTAATTGTTTTCTTGAATTGAGTGGATTAAGATGTTTTAGTACTTTTTTGAGGTAATTATTCATCTAGATTAGCATGTTAGTTATTGTATATCTTTGCAACTAGGTCAAAAACTGATGTTTTGTGATTGGAACCCCTATGAGAAGGAGATGCTTTGCTATATGTCATGGATCATACAATAAATCATAATTGATTGATTGGTCAATGTAGCTGTTTCATGATGATATGCCCTTGGAATCAATATAAATCAAAGAATTTGGCTTGCAAAAATCGAAATTCCACTAGCAATGATTTCTTCAAGTATGCTAATTGTTCAAATCTCACTTATATGACAAGATAATGAGGTGGATTGCCCTGGATTGCCCTCATATCAAAATCAAATTCAAACTAAACAACAAATTTTAATATCCCTAAAGTACATGAGCAGATATAAGTAGATCTTTTATTCTATTAGATTAGATGCAAAGTGGTTAATTGTGTTTTATAATTATATTTCAGTGCATATTATATTTTTTACTCAATATGTAATTTATGATTTTTCTGTTTAATATCACATAATAAAATTATCATACTTCAATTCTTATACTACAAAATACTAAATAATAATTATTAACTATCTTTAATTATAGGTACTAAACTCCCGCGCATGGCGCGGGCTTTTTCCCCTAGTAGAGAGTTATAAACATCAGTACAATGAACGATCAACATTTGAAATTTCTAATATTCTGCATAAGTTGCAAATTATTATAGCAAACATCCAATATATTTTTGTTTGTTATTTTTTTAAACTTCCATCTTTCACCATACCAAAAATCGGACTAAATAAGAAAATTGTTTTTCTCTTAATCTTCACTTGCCTCCGTGGCAAAAAAATTTTGGAGCGAGTGTTTGACAATTTGAAACTTATTTGGGAAAATTAGTTTTTCTTTTCATGTCTAGTAACCTCCATGGTAAAAACTGTTCAAATGAGTCATTGACAATTGAAGTTTACTTGGAAAAAATTAGTTTTAATTATAGTAAAACTTATTATGATATGGTATTTGTGAGATAAAAATACATTTGAAAATATAAAAAAAATTCGTAGAAACGGGTTTAGAAAACCTTGAGAAAATCTTTTTAAAAATTAGTTTCAATCCATTCAATAGTGAGGAAGATTTACAGCATAATATTGCCATGTCTTGACTACAAGAATTTATCTAGGATTTAGCATTTCTCGCACCACAAGAAGAAAGGCTCTTGGTAACCATTTAATTTTAGGGTTAAGTAAAAAAAAAATGATGACCTAATCTTAGGCAAAAGCTGTAATATAAGCTATTAAAATTGACTTCATAATTGAAATATTTACCAAACAATTATAAAATGAACATAGTGTAAGGCCTGGTGCAACCCAATGAGTACAAACAATATCACAATGATGCACAAAGATATATCAAATTTAAGTACAATAAAGAAAACTTAATTAAAGAGAAAAGATAAGAAATGCAAACCAAATATCAATCCAATAGCCTCTTCAATAGATGGCGATGCTAACCAAGATGTACAAGTGAAAACTCACTCCTTCCTCACCCCAAACACTCTTTGGTTGAGCCAAGGAGTTTTACAACAATTCTAGTTAACCCTCAACAACCTACACTTGAAAGATCACTCACCCAATTAAGAACTATTTTATACAAATGAGGCAACCTTCACCAAGATTTTACCACTTCAAGTGATAGGTTCACCTTCACCAAGGTTTTACTCCTCCTAGAGAGTAACCTTCACTTGAGCAACCTCACAACCCAACTTTCCCAACCCCTTGTACAACCAACAAAGAATCTTTCTACTCAAAAATCTCACTTGTAAGCTTGTATTTTGTGTTGGCAAAAGTTTTTTGTCTTCTTGTGCTTTGGGGTTTTTATAGAAGGTGAGAAATGGCTCCAAAAGACTCTCCAACGGTCAAATATTAAATGCTGTCAAAACTAGCCGTTGGCCTGTCGGACGTCCGAACCACCTGTCGAACGTCCAAACCCTGCGTCCAAACCACCTGTCGGACGTCCGAACCCTGCGTCCGAACGTCGTCAGAGAGTCATCAAATCTTTGCGAAATTTCTCGGACGTCCGATGCGATCGATGTGCGTCCGAGGCGTGAGTTCGATCCTTCCGGACGTCCGATGCTTCCTCATGAGCGTCCGACAGAGTTTCCTTATTGATGTTCTTCATCCTTTCAGACGTCCGATAGCTTCCTTTCGGACGTCCGACATGAGTGCCCTGTTTTTGCTTCTTCTTTTGTGCCACAAGAATCTGTTCTAACAAATTGCTCACATAAAAACATTAGTCCAAATCTACATTTTGGTTTGTTAATCATCAAAACCAAGGATTGATCGACCAAGGTCAACAATCTCCCCCTTTTTGATGATGACAAACAAAATGAAGATTTCTTTTATCAAATAAGTTCAAATAAAGCTCCCCCTTAGAAAGTGCCAACATACAAAGAAATTTCAATAAATCCTACTCCCCCTTTTGGCATCAATCAAAAAAACAAACTCCCCCTTTATTTTTCAAATCAAGACCATATTGAATATCAAAATTTTCAATTGTACTTACAACCATATAGCACTTTTTGGATCAAATCTTCATGATATACCTAAATATGAGAAATTTCATT